GAGCTCATCAAAAGGATGTCCAGGTATGTCAAGGTCCCTGACAGGCCAACTCTGAAGAAAGGTGGGAAGAAGAAAATAAAGCTCTCTGATCCTAATGAAGGACCATCCTTAAGGAACGAACATGATACAAGTTCTCTTTAGATGAAGTCCTGAAGGGTCATATGAGTATCGACATTTCTATGTTGAATCTTGGCTTGCTAGATAAGGGTCTCTATACACCCAACTCTGTGCATTTTAAACCTGAGTTAGGAATTATATTCCTTGACTATGAAGGTGAAGTCAGATTTCAGAGAATGTCAGAGCTACGTCTATGTCCAATGGATCACTTGGTATATCTTTTGCTCTGGAAAGATGATAGCATGCCTAGAAGAGTCGTCGATCTGAAGATACGAAGGGAATTCCTACGTCGAAGAAACCTTGGTGAAAATGTACCTGATTACACAGATCTAAGTGTTCTAGAATAAGGTTCTCTTTGTAACTACAATCTACTTTTCCTTGTAAATCTTTTTCTATATCTTCTTTCATTGATTGTATTTACATTTTATAAATTCTGAATATGTACTGTAATACTTGTATTATTTCCAATGATTAATAAAATGAGTATTCCATGTACTTCATTGAAAAAGATCCCTGAAAAAAGTAATAGGGACACAAGTTTATGAGTTTCGATGTTACTTTTTCCGTTCACTGACAGTCTTTAACTCAGTGAATAAGCTTTCAGTTTAAGTTTCCGTACTTGTAGTTTTCTTAGATATAACTTAAGAAAACTTCTCAAGCTGAGACTATCCAAACTGAAAAAGATCCCAAAATAGTAAAWAGRGACATRTACTTTATRTGTAACTTTTCCTTACTATTATTTGATAAGATAACTTTCTTTATGTTATCTTGTTATCATCAAATAGGGGGAGATTGTTGATCATCTCTCTCAGTGATTTGATGATAATCCCTTTTTTCTTTTACGTTGTATTTGTGTTTCTGTATTTCAATTACAGCGATCATCATTGAGTATGTTCAGTGATCGCTGAAGAACTTGTATTGTAAATTCATCAGAGACATCTTTACTTCAAGAAGACAACACTCACACCACAGATCCTTCAGCGAATGTCGAAGACTGAAACTGAAGATTAAAGACTGCCAAGTACGTGATCTGAAGCGGTATTCAGTGATTACAAGCCTGTCTACATATGTGTGAAGACTGCTCTAGCTTHARYGAATGATGATGAGACCTCCAGGTCATTCCAGCATTCAGCGATCAAAGGAAGCTTGCTTAGCATGATTGTTGTTGTCTTGTCCTTATGCACACAAAGGACA